GGGGGGGGGGGGGAGGGGGGAGCTTTACAGTTTTTGGACAATTAACCACAGTCCAAACGTACTGACCAATCATAATTGGTGCGGTCCAGACACAAGATGTATTACGTTAAGAATGCTGGCATGCGATTGGTGGATACCTGGATAACCTATGAACTTCCTTTGCGCATGTTATTTAATCCCCTTGCTCTCTTTGAATTAACGAACTGCTACTTCTGCGGCCTTTTTCTTACGTCTCAGTGACGGGAGATTCCAGCGTGCAAGTGCTAGTGCGCTTCAGCGTTTCAGTTTCGTCCGTGATTCGCGATTCGTACTTTCTGATCTGTGCCTTCTTCGACCACTACATCAGATTGTGAAGCGTCAAACTTCAGTGAGCTGTTTTTGCCAAGTAAATTCTGAAAACCACAACTTGTCCTAAATTCTCGTAATCCGGGTGTACTTGAACAGTAGAGACTTGGAAAGGAGTTTGACACATTGACGTTCATGAGAATCGAGCAAACAGAAAGAGTGATGGCTTATGTTGCGCTTTCGATCTAGATTTTGCTACGTGGGACCGAGGTTACGTAATAAATAGACTGTAACCTAGATCCGAATCTGTATGAGATTCTTTGTGAATTACTTGCTCTCCAGATGCACAAGGATACTTTGGCTTATTTGATGGAGAGAGCAGATCATAGTGTTCAAGAATAATGGGTCAATTTGGACCCTAAGATAATCACAATTCTTGGGAGAGGTGAGCCGGTACAATGTATGGGGGTCGTCAGGTCGAATGGCACAATTACACAATTTCAAGTTCAGTTCAGTTCCGTTCAGTTTGTACATTCATTAACTATTGTGCGCCGGTTTGGTTGCTGTAATTTGGCAGCCCATTTCGATGAATATAAGGAAAGGTTGAAAGTAGGATCAAGGAGAAAATTTAGGATTTCAGTGAACTCATGGTGCAGAGAAATGGACAAGATGCACGAACGCCACTGTTTACGACACAGCCATATCACCCAGTGTCTCTAACTATGATCATCCGGAAGTTCTCCTTCAGGGAGCCTAACGGGACCTACGGGACCCAGACTCCTGGTTAGGGTTTTCATACCCTCATACCAGGTTTTAGCTTGACCACCATTGACTTTCTTCCACCTACTACCTACCTCGGCGAAAATCGCTCGCCTCGGCGACCTATTCGGTAACACATGCCCCAAACAACATAATCTATGGAGGTCGATCATTTGCTCCAAGAGACAACCTCATTTACCTAAAACTCTGCGTCTAACCTCAACATTGCTCGTTCGGCTACCCCACCAGATTCTTACAATTTTGCGTAGACAGCGGTGTTGGAACACCGACGGTCTATCTTTATCGCGTTTTCTTAATGGCCACGTTTCTACGCCGTATGGCAGAACCAGACGAACCGCCGGAGCACATACTAAACCTTTTACAGACAGCCGAATGTCGCGGCGGCACCCCAGACATCTCAGGTTGGCCAATACCAATCGAGTCTTTTGCATGCGAGTTGACACTTCATCCGTGATGCGTCTACCGGGTGAGATATAGATGCCCAAATAACTAAACTAGTTCACTTGGTCTCGTTACTTCTGCAGTTAGAGCGAGTCTGGTTGCTGAAGGAAACACAAAACAGTATATTTGAATTAAGACAAAAGCTAACAGTTGATGAAACAACGCGGTGAAAATGAATTCAATACCGGCATGCCAGTTTGTACCCACGGGGAGATAAAACGCTTGCAACATTGATAACCGCGGACGAGTGTAAGATTAGAACAGTTTTGTGGCAAAAGAACGGTAAACATGCAGATTACTTCATTTACACCAACCATATTCAAAAGTGGCTGACCTGGAACGCATGTTGACTGCCCATTTTACGACCGTGGTCGTGAATGGTAGATGGCAGGAAATGGAATTGAATATTAGGATGTGGCACGTCCGGAGCACTGCGTGCAAACCCGCCCGTCTCCAAGTGGGATGTGGCACCCCAACCCTGTCGGAATAGGAGCCACTGTAGACCGATACCAATCATCACATGGGGGAATTT